TCGATCGGATTGAAGGGGGTGGTTTATTCCTTTTCTAATACGATTGAGAGTGAACCCCGAAACTGAAAGGACTGCGCATGTGCAATGACGCAGAAAGAGCGTAATGACGTATGACGCGCGGAACGGAACGGCTCTTCCTTTTGAATAAAGTGTTGTTGTATAAATGCGTGTCCTGTCATTATAAAACTCTCCTTTCACTTGGCAACTGTGAAGTGGAGCAGGACAACCTCCCACCAGTCCTTGTTTTGGATTCTCATCCACAGGCAACCCGTTTTGGGCGCGGGGAGGGGCATTTTTTATTTGCGTGATAAATATGAGCAGCACGGCACAGCGGTTTATATGTAGGCCTATATTTATCCATAAATGGATCAATATTAATTCTGCTGTTAAAAACAAATAAAGAAACCGTAGGAGAGTGGTTATTATGTGCAAACAGTGAGAAACTCTATTTGTTCAGTGTGAGCATGTAAAAAAAAAAAATCATTTCCGATTTGAAGCTTGTGACATATAAACGCACACATCAACCCGATCACTTTATTAGCGTTCATGTAAACACTACATTCAGATTCATTAATCGGAATGAATTCAGTCCTATTGAACCAAAAAAATGTGCATGCAAACGTATTGGTATACATTTAGCAATTTTTTGTTTATGAATGTAATATTTACCTTGCAAAATGTAAAAGTGAACAATACTCAGTCATTTTGCTTTTGTGTGAATAAGTGCAAATGACATCTTTTAAAGAGAGCATGTAATTAACATTTCTTTGAACAAATACAAAGGCACTAACATCAGACCAAAATCTATAAAAGACAAATCACAATTATAAAATAAATGAGACAAGTCTTCCTCGTGTGCATCAAAGAAAATGCAATTATTGTCAATGTACATAAACTTAGAAAGAGCTTCTTTACATGGGTACATTTTGTGAAGTATTTTGAAATGTACCTCTTTAACTCTTTAAATACAAACTTTGTAAGGATTTGACCAGGCCAGAATTTTTTGCATTCCAAAAGAATTTTCCTCTAGTTGAGATTTTATGTTTTGATTGAAAAATGTGTCTAATATTTTTATCATTACAAGAGGAAGTAAATATTTCAAGCACGTCCTTTTTTAATTTTTTAATTTTATTTTTTTAATGCTCAATAACATAAGAACATTGTCAAGAAATTACATACAAATACATATAACAAAAAGAGAAAAAAAAGGATTACACAAAAAAACAAAAGATGACAAGACAAGGAGACACAAGAATGCATACATTACCACTTTTGATACAATAACATACAAACATTAATATACAGGGAAAGCTTTTAAATACATGTATTTTCTTTAAACATTTCTTCATAATATTTTATAAATCTTAGGGATTTTTTTTCTTATTTATATAACTAAGAGATTTAAGAAGTGATGTTAATTCAGTTTTAAAATGGGGATAGGATGGAATATTATTTGCAAACTTTTGTTTATGAATAAAGAATTTGCCATATAAAATAAAGAAGTTAACAATATACTCTAGGGGTCTATTTTTATCATCAATATAATAAAAAATAATGTCTTTTAGACTGAAAGAATAAGTAACATTGGCCGAATCGAATATATAGGAGCCAAGGTCAGACCAAAATTGCTTGGATATAGGGCAATCATAAAACAAATATTTCAAGCACGTCCAGCTCTAACTGTCACGCCCTTATGACGTATTATTTCTGCGACAGGACTGGCCTATACGTCAGCACCGCGCCGTCCCCTGCCTCCTTTCTCTCGTCCTGAAGATGGCGGCAGGGGTGAGTGAGTTGGGAGAAAACCCTTTAGAGAGGACATTACAGCACATGTCCATCCACAATCATCCCAGAATCACGCCAATCCTTATATCTTTATGCATTGTTGTCACCCCGTATTATTTGACAGCCTCTTTTAAAGCTGGCGTGATGATTATTTCCGCTGTAAATATTCCCCACACCAGAGTTACGACGACCAGAAGCGCTCCTTTGTGCCACGTTTCCCTTTGCTTTCCCGTGCACGCCTTTCATGCCGTTTTGTAACTAGAAGAGTGTCATGTTATTTGTGGTTTCATATTAAATTCATGAAAGCGAAGCGCATATGTTAGCAGTGTGAGCTGGCATAAAAGCATAGTGAGTTGAGAAGCGTTCACTGTGTGGTCATCAAGACCAAATAAGGCGTTTTTTAAAAACTAGTTCTGAAACTTTTAAGTGTTGGTTTCAAACACTTAACGAGGTTTTGTGCGTAACCGCACCAGCTGGTTCACTAATAAATGTGCTGCAGCACTGTTAAGTCTAATTTCTGCCAGTGTTCGCTTTCTATTTGTATATGCAAACGTTGTTTATAGTGTGTGAAGTAATGTATTGCAGGGGATTGACTGTCAGCTGTTTCCGCCTCAGGGGAAAGTGCTGTGTAATGCTCTTTGAGTGGTCTTAATGAAGGGGACCGCTTCTGTTGGCACTGAGTTTCTGTGCAGCATCAGTTTCAGCAATGTGATCTCAAACCTTGTGTTTCTGCAGACTCTCTACACATACCCAGAGAACTGGAGGGCCTTTAAGGCTCAGATCGCTGCCCAGTACAGCGGGGCTCGTCTGAAGATTGCGAGCACCTCCCCTGCCTTCACCTTTGGGCAGACGAACCGATCGCCTGCTTTCCTCAGCAGCTTTCCTTTGGGCAAGGTCAGTATTCTCCTGCCTTTTTTTTGTGCATGTGTTCTTGATGTAGAATGAATGAATTAATGTTGTTCCCATCCATTTAGGTTCCTGCTTACCAGGGTGATGATGGCTTCTGTCTGTTTGAGAGCAATGCCATTGCTCACTACTGTAAGTAAGCTTTATAGGGCCTATTTATGCTTGGCCACTTCATGCATTTCCTTTGGTTGGATTAAAATGGTTCCATTTACACTTGGCTACAAATGTATATATAGGGCCTTTCGCACCGCTTTAGTTCCAGAACTAAATGTACAGTACTAAAGTACTGGGACGATTTTGCGCGAACTATTTCCCAGTACCATTTAAAGGGTTGCATTCGCACCGACAGTGTGTACTAAGAAGTGACGTAAACCGGTCGACAGTGTCGTCATTTGTGTGCGGTGTTCAACAACAGAAACAAAGAAGAACAACATTAACAACAGGAGGACGCTGTGATCGGAGCTGTGTGTTTGTTGTGTCTCGCGGGTTTCACAATAATGGACATGGAAAGTCGACGTATACGTAAAGCGATTGAAAGAACGGAAAGGAGGACTAAGAATCTCCAACGACAACTGGCAGTGCTACATTTGCTACAAGTGCCTGCACTTCAGCGTCCGTCCATCTATCGCTGTTCTCCATACTTGCGAAATAAGTTGACACAAAGTTTACAGTGTTTACACGGCGTTTTAAATCATGGCGGGTGAGGGCGTTTTCATACGCGTTTGGCCAATCAATGTCTACTTACGTCACGATTAGTACCAGTTGTGCCGGTTAGACCCTGCTCCGGAGTAGGAGCTAATTTGGTTCTCGAAAAAGGCAGTCCGGTACTAAAATCGCACCCAGTTCCGGCGGTGCGAAAACGCCAAAAAGTGGGTAGTTCCACAATTAGTTCTGGTACTATGAAAAGGTTCCCGCGGTGCGAAAAGCCCTAT